CTTTCGCTCTCTCCCTGCTCACTCTCTTTCCCACTGCTCACTCTCTTCCCCCCTGCCCACTCTTTTTCCCACCCTTCACTCTCTCCTCTCCTGTTCACCCCCTGTTCTCACCCCTCTTCCTCCCTTCACTCAACCGTTCCCCCCTGCTCAACCTCTTTCCCTCTGCTCACTCTCTTCCCCCCTGCTCTCTCTCTTTAGCCCGGCTCACACTCTCCCCCTCCCCCTCCCCCCACTCTCTTTCCCCCTGCTCACTCGCTTCCCCCCTCCTCAATCTCTTTCCCCTGCTCATTCTCTTTCCCTCTGCTCACTCCCCTTGTGCTCACTCCACTTTCCCCATTTCTCACCCATTTTCGCCTTCACGCTCTCTTACCCCCTCCGCTATCCCCTGTTTTCCCGGCTCACTCCTATACTCACTCTCTCCTCCCCTTCTCACTCACTTCCCCCCTGCTCACTCTCTTTCCCCTTGCTTACTCTCTTCCCCCCCTACTCACCTTCTTTCCCCGTGTTCTCACCCCTCTTTCCCCCTTTCTCACCCATTTCCCCCCTGCTCGGTCTATTTCCCCCCTGTGCTCGTTCCTAAATTCCCCTGCTGACTCCCTTACCCCCTGTATTCACCCATCGTTCCTATTTCCTCTTGTTCACTCTCTCCCCCTCTGCTCTCTCTCTTTCCCCCTGTACTCACCCATTTTCCAACCTTGTTTACTCTCTATTCCCCTTCATTCAACCCTTTTTCCCCCCCCAAGTCCTCTCATTTCCCCTGTTCACATCCCTCCTTAGCCCCATGCTTACGGGCTATCCCCTTTGCTTACCCCCTTCTCCACCCTGCTTACTCTCTTTCCCGCTTCGCTCACTTTGCCTAACTCCTCCCATACATGCCCTCCACCTTCACCCCTCGTGTATTCTACCATATCCCCTCTTCCCTCCCCGTTCCTTCCAAACCCATGCTTGTACAGGTTCCCAGGACCATGGGTCCCAACAGGAGTGGGTTGAAAAGTTACCAACTCCTAGCTTTGTGCTTGTGCTTATTTAGTCTTGTCTTGTCTTGTTTTGTGATGTGGTGTATTATGAGACGCATCCAACCAATATCAATAACAATACACTGTATAGCTATTGTAGACGACTAGTATCATCAAACCCTATACTCATCACGACTGGATGCATGGCAGACCTGCATAGACACGAACCACAAACTCTGATGCACGGTGGGGAACAAAGAATGCACGGAGGCAGAAAATGAGCAAGGGAGACACGGAGGAAGGGCGGATGAGATGATGGGCGGATGAGATGATGGGGGGATGAGATGATGGGCGGATGAGATGATGGGGGGATGAGATGATGGGGGGATGAGATGATGGGGGGATGAGATGATGGGGGGATGAGATGATGGGCGGATGAGATGATGGGCGGATGAGATGATGGGGGGATGAGAAGATGGGGGGATGAGATGATGGGGGGATGAGATGATGGGCGGATGAGATGATGGGGGGATGAGATGATGGGCGGATGAGATGATGGGGGGATGTGATGATGGGGGGATGAGATGATGGGGGGATGAGATGATGGGGGGATGAGATGATGGGCGGATGAGATGATGGGGGGATGAGATGATGGGCGGATGAGATGATAGGGGGGATGAGATGATGGGGGGATGAGATGATGGGGGGATGAGATGATGGGCGGATGAGATGGAGGACGGGAGGAAGGGAGGACGGGAGGAAGGGAGGACGGACAACAGAGAGGGTAAAGAGGGTAGTGAGGCAAAGAGATGGAGGAAGGGAGGAAGGGAGAGGGAGGGGAGGACGGCTGAGGGGGAACGACGGAACGGAGTAAGGGAGGAGGGCAAGAGGTAAAAGTGTGGCAGGGTATAAGGGGGATAGGAGGATCCCTGCACCCTCTCTCCCTCATCCCCGCCTCCCCCGCTCCCCTAACCCGCCCCCTGCAGCACTGCACTCCTTGCTGCCCGCCTGCGCGCGCTGCCCTGGCTGTGCCCCCAACACTCTGCTCCAAAGCCTCATCACCACCTCCCATGCGTGTGGGGTCGGTGCGAGAGAGGAGAGGAGGTCAGTGCAAGAGAGAAAAGGGTGGGTGCTGCTGACCACGCACCCTTCCACACCCCACAGCGAACGAGCCACGACCCCTTTCCCAGCTCCCAGCCCAGCCCGCCATACCTCCCCGCCCAGGGTGGGTGAGAGGCTGATGGGGAGGGAGAATGTGAAGAAGGAAATAAGGGTGCAAGGGTGGGGTGGTCACCATGGGCGATGGTAGGAGTAGAGAAGGTGGTAATAGGGAAGGAGTACAACGATGACCCTAAATGCGATGGGAAGGGATGAGAGGGTGGAGACGCGACGGTGAAGAGGGGGAACGTGATAGGCAGGGGAGTGATGACGACGTGGAGAGAGGTGGGAGAGAAGGGAGGTCGACGGTGGGAGGAAGAGGACGACGGTGGGAGGAAGCGTGGCTGATGAGAGGGGAAGCGTGGGAGAAGGTAGGGGGAAGCGTGAGCGACGATGGGTGGGAGCGTAAGCGACAGTGGGGGAAAGCGAGGGCGACGGTGAAGGTGGTGACGGGAGGGGGAGCATGGGCAACGACGGAATGAAGTGTGAGCGACAGCGGGAGGAAGCGTGGGCGACGGTGGGGCGAAGCGTGGGGGACGCGGAAAGCGATAGACAACATAGGAGGAGAGCGATCGGAGACATAAAAGTAGCGACATCGGGCACGGCGACGTCGACGAGAGGAAGCGTGGGTGACAGGACGTGACGTCGACGAAGAAGCGCGGGAGTGGGCATAAAGCTGAGGCAAACATAGGGCGAATGCGCAGGAAATGACAGCGATCGACAGTACGATTCTTATCGATCTCGGAGAGGGAGATGCATGCGCCGCAAACTGGCGTTTGCGCAGTCGCACAGGGTTTCGACGACGATGCTGAGTAATAATCGGGCCCATCGCAACACTCTGATCATCATACATAATTGGTTTCTCCGTCTTATTTTTTTGTGGAGTGGCCTCCGGCTTCATTGGCTCCTCTGTTCTACCTAAGAGTGCGTGCGTGCGTGAGTGTCTTAGCTTGACCTGAATTACAACTATTTTCGAACTGTCAACAGCCTAGCTCTATTCCCTTGGGGAGAGAGCGGTTGGGACTCTCGCCAACCAGATCTGTGCTGCTCCATGACTCCCTGCTTTTTTGCGTGGTGTTTTTTGGTAACCAGAGAGGCTCGGAAGTCAACTGTGGGCTCGGGAGGCAAACTGTGCACAGTTTGCCTTCTTTTTTTTGTAATTCAGGTCTTGGGCTTTAAGTGCCGCCCCCCCCCCCCCCCCCCCCCCCCCCCCCCCCCCCCCCCTCCCTTTCTCCTTAGGTTGCACGAGAGGAGTGGATTTTTCCCTTAGCGTTTTCTAGCCATCCCGTGTTTGAAAGTCAGCTTTAGAGCACCCAAAATTTCCCTTCCCGTCTAAGTGCAAACTCTTCACAGGCCCGGATTTTAAGTTTTCACTTTGGGGTGCGCCCGTGACCGTTAAGGGCGCCCAAACGCTCAGCTACACCAAAAACGGGGTCAGATGGGGAGGAGCTGGGGAGCGCAAGTATGGGACCCAGGAACTTCGACAGGCCTGCTCTCAAAGTTCCGAGGTAGAATCCATGGCGGCCTTGTCACTTTCAGCATGAAACTTAGCGAACTGGATTCTGGGTCTTGCTGCTCAATTGATCTAGAGTTCCCAAGGAATCAAGGGTGTCTCAGTTGGAGTGCGCTGGAGATGAAGAGTTCATCCCTCTTTGCCGCTTTGAACCAGGCGAAAACGTTGGGATTCGACAGCACACCAACTTGAGCTCGACGATGGGTGGTGAAAGGAATCCTGGTCTGGTACATTTGAGCGAAACTGAACCAACACAGCCCTTCGTTCCGGTCAGTGCGTTCAAGTTCGCTCTTTTTCGTAGATCACGTTAATGATTTCTCGATGCCGACTTTTGCAAGATCATGTTACCACCAGGGTCAAAACGCCGTGCAGAAATTCCGACACTGTGCGCTGGTTACCCGAAGGAACTGACCTGGTTCAGTCTTCTGTGCGTGTGGACTGGCTCCTGTCGACGAAGGAACATCCACACTTGCTGCCATTGCTTAGTTTCGAGCAGCGTCGAAACTGGCAGCTTATTCTTGGAATATGTGTTGACCTTGCTTTAGGCACCAAAAAGCGAGAGGCGTAAGAGCACGATGGGGAAGAAGCCAACTGATTTTTCACACGGAAATGGGCTGGATGTAACCGAAACCGCGAGAATGGAAAAGCATGCAGCCAGGGCTGCCTTATTTGTAGAAAGAGGAAGCGCATCATCAGGCGAAGCAACACTAGCAACGCGATACTCTGCTGACCCAGGCACGCGATTCCCAGCGACGGAAGATTCGCAACCTGCCAATTCAATGTTAACGATCTCATTAAGGACGGAATCGAACGAAGCAGCATTGATCGGGTCAGCCGCATCACTACCCGCTACTGTTACATCAGCAAACGGTCCTCCCCCAACAGAAGCATTATCAGAATCAGAATCGGCGCGCTCGTCGGCAATACCGAGGGCCGTATTAGATCATTCGCCCGCGCACAGCCTCCCCCAGCCTCACATCGCCCCGCAGGGAAGCAGCACCGCTGTCGCCCCAGCCCCGGCTATCCGTCGCCCGGGATATTTTGCTACAAGATCCGAACTCGGTATAAGCTCAGACCTCGGTATAATCTCGGAATCAGGCCCAAACGGTTACGGTACACTATCGGAATTAGGCCCAGGCGGCCCAAATCCAACCACCAGCACGCAGGCAGCGGCGAATGGAAAACAAAACCCATTCGGTACAGTCACATCCGCAGGCGCCGCTGCAGCCGTGGCTGCGTTACAAGCACGCAAGCACTGGGTGAGCAGGGTACAGGAAGGGTTACCCCAGGCGGCGGTGGTGGTGCTGCGGGTGCTGGTGGTGGTGGCGGCTGCTTGGAGCGCGTGTGCTGTGATGTTCTTTTCCCTCGTTATAATGCCCTGGGTTATGCTCCACCTCTCCACCTCCTCCCACCCGCACTTCCGCGCCCTTCGCTTCAATCACACCCCCGTTGAGGCGCTTTCAGCTGCTGCAGGGGAGAAAGGACAAGGAAGCGGAGGAGAAGGAGGAGGGAAAGTAGGAGGGATTGTGGGGGGGAGTGGGTGGGGAGTGAGAAAGGGGGAGGTGTGGAGGCCGAGGAGGGGAGAGGGGGTGTGTGAGCTGGGGAGAGGGGATTGGCAGATGGAGAGGGAGGGATATCCGCTGTACGCAGCAGAAGACTGTCCCTTCATTAGTGGCACATTCAACTGCCTGGTGAGGAGGGAGGGTGAGTGATCTTTGAGCAGAATGAAAAGGGTGTATAGGGTTAACGGGTGTATAATATCCGTTTTTTGCAGCAGAAGAGTGTATGTTTCTCAATAAAACATTCAACTGTCTGGTGAGGAGAGATTGTGAGCCTTGAGTTGATTCATAATGGTATCGATTTTGTTATTTGAAGCAGGAGATTGTTCCTTCGTTAGTGAAACATTGAATTCCTGTGAGGGTAGCTTTGCAGTGACTTTGACTATCTCCAATTCGCCTGGCGAGAGAGCGAGCGCATCCCTTCGTCGTTAGTTTGTTGCTTTTCTCCTCGTCCCTCTTCCATCCCCCCATCCCAACTCCCCCCCTCCTCTTCCCTCTCTGCTTCCGCTGCCTCCCCGCCCCCCCCGTCCCCCAGGACAACAGCTGCACGGACTTTGACTATCTCCGCTTTGCCTGGAGGGAGAACGAGTGCGCCCACCCATTCACCCACCCACCTCCCTCTCCCCTCCCCCCGTCCCCCAGGAATGGCCGAACAGGCTTTGACTATCTCCACTTTGCCTGGCGAGAGAGCGAGTGCGCCCACCCGTTCACCCTCACGCACGCCCCCCTCTCCCACCCCCATCTCCAACCGCAGGAGAATGGCCGTACCGACTTTGACTATCTGCATTTCGCCTGGAGAGAGAGCGACTGCGCCCACCCGTTCACTCGCTTCCGAGCGGATCGCTTCTTCGAGGCCTTCCAGAACCGTCGGATCGTGTTCGTGGGCGACTCTACACTGTTGTCGGTACGGTCCATTTAAAGATTCTATGCGGCCCCGCAATAGTCGATTCTGCGGGTCACTCTCTGCATGTCTCTCGATATGTTCAATTTCAGTGTAATCTCTGTCCCTGGTTTCTTTCCTTCCCCTTCCCCCTCATTCGTTTGCTCCATCCATCCATCCATCCATCCATCCATCCATCAGCTTTTCAGCTCGCTCTTTGACCTCTGCCCATCACCACCACTCATCTCTAACCACCATAACATCTCCCCCTGCCCATCTCCACTCCCCTCTCTTATTTTCTCTCTCCCTCGATCCCTTGCTTGCAGATGTTCCAGTCGCTGCTCTGCCTGCTCTCAGTGGGTCCCTCCCTCCCACCCAATCACAGCATGCCAACAGAGCGACTCAACCGCACCTTCCCCTCCCTCCTCCACCCCCCTTCCTCGTCTCCATCCCTTCTATCCTCCTACTCCTCCTCTCCCCTCACCTCCTCCTCATCCTCATCCTCAGCTGCTTCCCCTGCAGGCTCCAAGTCCCAAGCCTCCACTCCTCTAGTATTCCAATACACATTCCCTCATGCCAACACAAGCCTTGACTTTTTCCACTCTGACTTTCTAACCGTCCTGGAATCCGCCCCTTCACATGCTCCTGGGCAATCAGATACACCTGCCCCAGACACGCCTCCTGCTAGTATGGCTGTTCCAGATACGCCTAATCCTTCATTGACCAAGAATATGCCTGAGGGCATCAATAACAGCAGTATTACTGCCACCAATATCGTTGCTAGCTTTGGTAGCAGTAGCAACGCAGGCATTGGCAGAAGTCTTCTCACAGATACTTCTGAAACCACCCAGGAGCCAGGTTCGGATGGGTTGAATGCGGTGGAGCTGGGTTCGGACAGGTCAGGTGCAGCAAAGCCAAGTTCGGAGGGGTTGGGAGCGGTGAGAGTGGTGCGGCTGGATGCGTGGGCGGCATATGTGGTGGCAGCACAGCCGCATGTGCTGGTGATTCGCACGGGAGGCGCGTGGGTGGGGTTGCAGCAGCGATGGCAGGAGCATAGGGCGCGAATACATGCTTCTCAGGAGGGGCAGAAGGGGCAGGAGGGGCAGGAGGGGCAGGAGGGGCAGAGTGCAGCGAATGAATCAAAGGTTTTTGCTGCTGTGGCTGGTAAAGGAGTTGAGGGAGGGATGCGTGAGGAGAAAGTGGGAGCAGAAGGCAAGGTGGAGGTTGGTGGGGGAAAGAGGAAGGCTGGAGGGGGAAAGGGGGAGCCTGGTGGGGGAAAAGGGGAGGTTGGTGGGGGAAATTGGAAGGCTGGAGGGGGAAAGGGGGAGCCTGGTGGGGGAAAGGGGGAGCCTGGTGGGGGAAAAGGGGAGGTTGGTGGGGGAAAGGGGAAGGCTGGAGGGGGAAATGGGGAGCCTGGTGGGGGAAAAGGGGAGGTTGGTGGGGGAAAGGGGAAGGCTGGTGGGGGAAAAGGGGAGCCTGGTGGGGGAACTGGGGGGAATGGCGGGGGGAATAAGGGGACGGGTGAAAAGGCGAAGGGAAAGGGTGGGGGGAAGAAGGGGAATGGTGGGGAGAAGAGGGGGAATGGTGGGGAGAAGAAGGGGAGTGGCGGGGAGAAGAAGGGGAGTGGAGGGGAGAATAGGGGGAATGGTGGGGAGAATAGGGGGAATGGTGGGGAGAATAGGGGGAATGGTGGGGAGAATAAGGGGAATGGTGGGGGGAATAGGGGGAATGGCGGGGAGAATAGGGGGAATGGTGGAGAGAATAAGGGGAATGGCAGGGAGAATAGGGGGAATGGTGGAGAGAATAAGGGGAATGGTGGGGAGAAGAAGGGGAATGGTGGAGGGAAGAAGGGGAATGGTGGAGGGAAGAAGGGGAATGGTGGAGGGAAGAAGGGGAATGGTGGAGGGAAGAAGGGGAATGGTGGAGGGAAGAAGGGAAACAGTGGGGGAAATGGAGTCGATGGTTGGAAAAACAAAGGTAGCGGTGGTGGTAAACAGGGAAATGGCGGGGGCTATCAGGGCAATGGCGGGGGCTATCAGGGCAATGGCGGGGGCTATCAGGGCAATGGCGGGGGCTATCAGGGCAATGGCGGGGGAAATCAGGGCAACGGTGGGGGGAGCAAGGAGGCCGGTCAGGGAAATGACGGGGGGAATGGGGGCAAGGGTGGGGGGAGCAAGGAGGTCGGTCAGGGAAACCAAGGGAATGGTGCGGGAAGAAAGGGGAACAGTGTGGGGGATAACAAAATCAGTGCGGGAAGCAAAGGGAATGGTGGGATGGCATTGGGAGACAATAGTAAAGCTGGGCAGAAAGGAGGCGGGACAGGAAAGCAGGCAGGCAGTGAGATGAAGAAAGCGGGAGGGAAAGGGGAGAGCAGTGGTGATAAGGCGAAGGAGAAACGCAAGGCTGTGGCAGAGGTGCAAAAAACGGGTGGACGAGGGGGAGGAGGAGGGAAGGTTGAGAGATTGAGGAAGGCTGGAGGTCAAAAAGGAATCAAGGAAGGTGAGAGAAGACGATGGGAAAAGCAGGAGCCTGGGTCTGGGGGACAGGGTAAGCAAGGCAAGGGGCAAAAAAGGCAAGGCAAGGGGCAAGGGAAGCAAGGAGAGGGGAAGCGGCAGAAGGTTGGGGAAAAAGTGGAGGAGGGGGTGATGAAGCAGGGTGGTGATAATGGTGGCCAGACAGCCAGTGGAGGAGGAGGAGGGGACACCACGAGTGGTTCTCAGACTGATCCGTTTGCAGGAGGGGAGTTGCGAATGGGCGACTTCGGTGATGATGATGCCATTCTGCAGGGTGACAGTATTGAGAATGACAGTAGCAGCAGTGGCAGCAGCGTTTCAAACAGCAGCAACAGCACAACCAGCAACGGTTTCACTACCAGCAGTCCCGGTAGCACTACCAGCAACGTCCAGAGCAGCAATAATAAGAGTCTTAGTAACCTCAGCATCAACCCCTCTAACATCGGCAGTGGGGGTGCCAGGGACAGCCACAAGGAGGGGAGGAAGGGGGGGGAGAGGAGTAAGAGGGGGAGGGGGAGGATTGGCAAGTGGCTGTGGCGGCACCGGCACCTGCTGAGCTTCCCAGAAAGCACAGAGAGTGTCCATAGGGAAGACGATGAAAGTGATTCTTTTCGTTCCCACATGCCTCTGATTCTGACTCCCATGCCACATGTTGACTCACCTGCGAGTGCAGGCAACATGTCGATACTTGATGGAATGGACGGTGCGGATGAAGCAGGGTCCCTTGGTAGCATGGACGGATCAGATGCAGCGGAGGGGGGTTCAGGTGAGGCAGTGGGTGGATCGAAATTGGAGGAAGGTGATGTGAGATTAGAGGAGGAGGAGCAGCAGACAGGCGGAAGCTTTATGGCGGATGAAGCTGACATAGTCCTAGAGGAAATGTCCGAAGCGAGCTCTTCAGTCGGTCGGGGCAGCTTCCTTGATGAGGATAGGCCGGTGGAAAATGATGAAGTGCCGGAGCAGCAGCAGCAGCAGGGCGGGAGTGTCATGGCGGACGAAGCTGACCAAGTCCAAGAGGAGATGTCTCAAGGTAGACTCTCAGAAGGAGAAGTGATGCCTTCAGTCAATCAAGTTACGTTTGATGAGGAGGGTGAAGCGGCGAAAGAGGATGCAGTGCAGGAGAAGGATAACGAATCTCATGTTGTTACAGGTGCAGAGAATGACAAGGAAGTTCGTGGGGAGGATGTGCATAACGAGGCTGCTAATAAGGAGGATGAGTCACCTGGAGGGCCTAGTGTGCTCCCACCTAACCTGCTTGACTCGGTTGACTTTCTTGACCCGGTAGCAGCATTCACCAAGACCCTGCGCATGCTGCACCACTTCCTCTCCTCCCAACCCACCGCCGAATCCCTCCCAACTTTCTTTCTCGGGCTGCCCCGAGAACATTATTTCCGGGCAGACCAGGGCAACCATACCTCGCTCTGCCTGCCAGACGACGTCACATGTAAAGAAAACGGACAGTGTAGCTTGTTTTCGAGGCCGAGAGAGTGGTTGGAAGAGGGAGGGGAGGAGCAGGCACACCAGCAACGGTGGCAGCGGTGGCGGTGGCGGCAGGAGAGGGAGAGGAGGGAAAGGAGGAGGGAGTGGGTGCACTCGAGTGTGGGGCAGATGGAAAGGGTGGTTGAGAGGGAGATTGGGATGGCAGACAGGGTTGTGTTGCTGCAAGCAGGGGGGTTAACTGATGCTCGTGTTGATGCTCATGTGGGCTCTTCCCTCCCTGCAGAAATGCGTGTGGGGGAGACAAAAAAGGAAGATTGCAGTCACTTTTGTGTGCCTGGAGTGCCGGACACATGGAATGAGATGTTAGTTGCTGCGCTAAGACTACAGGAAATGATGACGTAACAACGAATTGTAACAGTACAGGTGGCATTATGCGTTGTGCCATATGGTGAAACGAAGAGTGAGTGCCATAATCGTGTATTGCATTCATCCATTTGATTACATAGACGTAACAAATGGAGAGCACATTGTATACAATACAAGGAGAGCAAGATATTCTATACCTAGAAGGGTTGGTGAAATCTTCACTTGAAAATTCGTGTAATAGTCAATTTTGTATTCAAAGCTTTTTATAGCGAATCGCAACTGGTGACGCTTCAGCAATCTTTCCCGCCAAAACCGCCATGGCTGCCCGCATGTTGCGCTAACGCGCGCTGATTGTATCCGCATGTGGGCATTTTCTTTCTTTCGACGAGGCCGCCTTCGCGACACCCTCTTCTCGCGTCGCGCTTAGTTCCATAGCTTCGCTGTGAAGTATTGACCTGTCGTTACAGTCACAAGCTCGTATCACCGTTGCCGACCGGAACGAGATTCCGCCTTTATTGCACTGCGCAAGATACAATTACCTCTCATTTCGCAACATTTCGTGTAAATCATAACCATTTGGTACCTGGTGGTTACCCAGTGGTTACCACTATCAGCCTATCGGTTCGCCGTCGCCGCTGCTATCTGGTTATCTTCGAGCGACAACTAGCTTACCGTGTACTCCTCCGTCCCAGCACCAGACTGCCTAAGAGTCCTCCGATGTTATAGGTAGTACCGACTTGCTGTCTGCATTCCTACGTGCAACTAATTTAGTTACGGGGTTCGTTCAGACGGTGGCGAAAACAGCCGAATCGAATCCGCGATTGAAATCGTTCATCGTTTCGCTGACTCTCGAATCTGCGACCGCGTGAATAGAGTCGATTTTTTAGTCGACTCACGTGAATAGAGTCGATTTCTGAGTCGACTCAAAAATCGACTCTATTCATCGTTTCGCTGACTCTCGAATCGGCGACCGTGAATCCTGCGACGTCTTCGAGTTTCTGAGTTTCCTCATCTCAAAGTCTTCTATTCCGAGCCTTGTAGTCTCCGAACCTCCCAAGTTTCCAAGCTTCCGACTGTGAGGCTCGGGTCCAATGGGTCGGTCGAGGGGAGCCGGGGAGGAGGACCACGCCCCTAGTGGGGGCTCGAGGTGAGGGGGTGCTCTGTGCGGTGGATGGTATGTTGCTGGTGCGATTAACGGATCAGCTAATAGGGGAGACAGGGAGGAGGATCACACTCCTAGTGGGGGTTCCAGGTGAGGGGTGCTGTGTGTTGCTGGTGCTAGTAACGGTTGAGCTAATGGGGAATATAAGTACGGAAGGGTTCCAGGTGAGGGGTGCTGTGTGCGGTGGATGGTATGTTGCTGGCAGGATGCTGTGGGCGGGGGGAGCAGGGGGTAAAGTGCATCTTTCCTTTCAACCCCTCACCTCCCCTTTTTCCCGCTTCCCCCTTCCTCCCCAAACCCTCAAGACTCCCATGCCCCCTCCCCTCCCCTTCCCCTTCCCCCTCCCCTTCCTCTTCCCTTTCCCCTTCCCCTTCCCTTCCCCCAGACCAAAGCGTCGCCGCTATGCCACCACAAGCTGGCAGGACGCCGTGGGGGGAGGGCAGCAGCGGGGGGAGATTTTCCCCCTCGCATCGCCAATTTCCTCCCCAAAATCCCCTTTCCCCCCTTCCCCCCGTGGCCTTTTCCTTCCGCAGACCAAAGCGCCGCCGCTATGCCACCACGAGTTGGCAAGACGCCGCGGGGGAGGAAGGAGCTGAGGGGGAGGGGGACGCATCTTGCCCCCTCAACCATTCCTTTCCCCCGTTTATTTCCTAACTCCAGCTTCCACCTCCCCTTCCCTCTCCCCTCCCCTTCCCTCTCCCCTCCCCTTCCCTCTCCCCTCCCCTTCCCTCTCCCCTCCCCTTCCCCCTCCCCTTCCCCTTCCCCCAGACCAAAGCGCCGCCGCTATGCCACCACAAGCTGGCAGGACGCCGTGGGGGGAGGTAGCAGCGGGGGGGGAGGCGCTGGAGCGGGGGGGGAAGGCGCAGGCGCAGCAGCAGGGGGCGGGGGGGGATCGGGGGGAGGCGGGGGAGCGGGGGGAACAGGGGGGGGCGCGCGGAAGGGCGTGTATCACTGCAACTACTGCCACAGGGATGTGACGGGGGAGGTGCGAGTGAAGTGTGCGGCGTGTGTGGACTTTGACCTCTGCGCTGAATGCTTCTCCGTGGGCGCCGCTGCCCACCCGCACTCCGCCTCGCACCCCTATCACGTTATGGTGAGTGTGGAGAAGGGACGGGGGGGGAGGGGGCGGAGGAGGGTGATGGAAAGGGAGGGGGAAAAGAAAAGGCGCTGCTGCTTACCCCCACTCTGCCTCCCACCCCTTACCACATCATCGTGAGCGGGGAGGGGAGGGGGGGAAGGGGGAGAAGGAGTGCGAGGGAGAGGGGTCAGGGGAGGGGCAGGGGGAGGGGGAGGGGGAGGGGGGGAAGGGGGATGGGGAGGAGGGGGAGGAGGGGAGGGAGAAGGGGGGGTGGGAAGTTGAAGCGAGTGTGGTAAGGGGCACGGGATTCACAAGAGAGGGAGGAGAGGGTTTAGGGAGGGGATGGAGAAAGGGGGAATGGGAGGGGGAAGGGGGAAAGGTGGGTAGACGGGAAGGGATAAGGTGGGCAGACGGGGAGTGGGAAGGTGGTCAGACTGGGAGTGGGAAGGTGGGTAGGCTGGGAATGAAAAGGTGGGCAGAGTGGGAGCGGGAATGTGGGTAGATAAAAAACGGGAAGGTTGGCAGATGGAGAGTGGGAAGGTGGACAGACTGGAAATGGGAAGGTGGGCAAACGTGGAGTGTGAAGGTAGGCAGACGGGGAGTGGGAAGGTGGGCAGACGGAGAGTGTCCATCTTCCCACTCCCAGTCTGCCCACCTTCCCAATTCCCCTCAGTTTGTACTATAGTTGGTCCATCAGGCTCGTGTTTCCATGGTTTCATGTTCTCCTGCTCCCGACCAATTTGACATGCGTTAACTTTGCATGAACGCATTCTGACTGTGCGCCACCAACCGCACCAGGACACCATGAGCTTCCCTCTCGTGCATGAGGACTGGACTGCTGACGAGGAGATGCTGCTGCTCGAGGTGAGCCACGCTGCCTTGTTTACCGTTAAGGTTCATTGTAGAATGGCAATTGGGAGAAGGTGGCAGGGCATTCTCGTGAATGAGTCTGCTTTTGAGTCGACTCAAAAGCAGAGCATGTTCCACGGGCATGTGCGAGAATGTTTCTTGGGCTTCTAAGAGCACCTCTTGTTGTGCGGGTCAGCCAACCCCTCTACCTCTCTTCCCTGTCTCCCTATTTCTTTCCCCCCCCTTACCTCCTCTCTCCCCCCTTTCACACCAACCCACAGGCGCTGGAGATGTACAGAATGGGCAACTGGGGGGAAGATTGCAGAACACGTGGTAATGATATTTCTTCTTACCCGCTCTCCCATCTTCTTCTCCTCTCCATATCCTTCCCCCTCATACCGAATTACCACCCACCCCACACCAACCCACAGGCCCTCGAGATGCACGGAATGGGCAATGGGGGGGAGGTTGCGTAGCACATGGGTTGAGGATAACTCTCCGGTCTTTCTCCCTTCCCCCCTTCTTCTCCTCCCTCTCATGTGCCTCTCTCCGTGCCCCCTCAGGCGCTGGAGATGTGCGGAATGGGCAACTGGGGGGAGATTGCGGAGCACGTGGGATAGCCCCCTCACTACCTCCTCGTCCCTCCCTCCTCCGCTCCCCGTCTTCATTTCTTTACGTCCCCTTTCCCCACATGAACTTCAGGCGCTGGAGATGTACGGAATGGGCAACTGGGGGGAAATTGCGGAGCACGTGGGGTCCAAGAGCAAGACACAGTGCCACGACCACTACCTCTATGACTACCTGCTGTCACCAACCGGTCCCTTGCCTGTGAGTAGTAGAACCGTGTAGCCTTGTGTGCATGTGCGTATGTGTGGTAGTGTGGGCATGTGAAGAGCAAGGCGCAGTGCCACGACCACTACCTCTATGTTTACCTGCTCACACCACAGGCCCTGCCTGTGAGTTGACTCTGTAACCACATATCCTTGTGGGCATGTGGGCATGTGGGAAATGCTTACTGCTACATTCACTAACTCTACGACTGCCTGCTGTTGCCCTGTGACCCTCTGCCAGCAGTCCCACTTCTTTCCGTAATCCCAGGAACCAGTTTTTCCCTCCCTTGTCCCTTCCTCGTCCCTCCTTTGTCTGGTCCCTCCTGTTTCCCTGCTTCTCTTTCTAGGATCTATCTCGCCTGCGCACGCAAGCAGACACGGAAGCAGCCAAGGCGGCAATGGAGGAGCAGGAGGCAGCAGAGACAGCAGCAAGGGCACAGGAGGCAGTTCTGTTCAACGTTCCTGTGGTGAAGTGAGTGCCCGTTGGGTTCACAAAAATCCTTATGTACACCTCACTGCAAGTGCAAGAGGCAACTCAGTTCAGCATTCCAATGGTCAAGGGAGCGTTGAGGGTGGAGTGTCATGAAGTGGTGAATTGAGCCGAGTGCTGCTGGCACTCCACTGCTGAAGTGTCAGCACCACTTCATTGACATTCATCTTCATTGACATGGTGTCAAGTCAAGTGAGTGCTTCCCCCACGGAGTGCATACAACCCTGTTTAGCCTTTTCAAGATGTCTTAACACGCATTTCAGTGGTCGAATGGTTGAACATTCCTTGAGTCCAGTACGTGGAGGGTTTCAAGGTGACTTTTGAGTCGACTCAAGAGTCACCTAGTCGAGTGCATGGAGGGTTTCAAGCCTGTCATCTCCCGCGTCACAAGCCCGACCCCGGCACCAAGACAGGCGATGCTGGTGCGGCGCCAAGCACAACGAGTTTGATCCTGAGTATGATACCCAGGCAGAGGCACCGCTGTGTGCCTCTTCTTATCTTTCCCCCCGTTCTCCTCCTCCCCTCCTCCCCTCCTCTCCTCCCGTTCTCCTCCTCCCCTCCTCCCCTCCTTTACAGGCCAGAACCCAGCACCAAGGCGGACGACACTGCCTCAGCGCCAATAACAGCGGGTTCAACGCAAAGCACAACGAGTTTGACCCCGAATGTGACAACGAAGCAGAGGCACCAATGCTGTATTCCTCTCATCTTTCATCCCTTCTCTTTTTTCTGACCCTCCCTTCCTCCCCTCCTCCCCTCCTCCCTTCCACCCCTCCTCCCGTCGTCCCCTCCTCCCCTCCTCCCTTCCTCCCCTTCTCCCTCGCCCACTACAGACCTGATCCTGGCGCCAAGGGGGACGACGCTGGTGCACCAATCACAAGCGGGTACAACACAAAGCGCAACGACTTAGACCCCGAGTGTGACAGCGGGGCAGAGGCCCCGCCGCTGTGTGCCGCTTAACTTTCTTCTCCTCCCCCTCCTCCTCCCCTCCTCTTCTACTCTACAGGCCAGAGCCCAGCACCAAGACAGACGACACTGCAACACCCATCACAAGCGGGTACAACACGAAGCGCAACGAGTTTGATCCCGAATACGACAACGAGGCAGAGGCACCACTGGCAGAGCTGGAATTTAAGGATTCCGATTCAAGTGTGGATAGACAGCTCAAGATCAAGATGCTGCACATCTACTACTCCAGGTGCGCTTGGTTTGTGTTGCGGATGTCACAGCGTTCAACAGTGGCGTACAGTGCAAGGCTGGCAGAGCTGGAGTTCAAGCAGTCGGACTCGAGTGTGGATAGACAACTGAAGACCAAGATGCTGCACATCGACTACTCCAGGTGTGTGGGGTTCGGCTGATTGATGTGTATTGAGCGTGACACATATTTTCCCTTGCACGGACTACCCCCACTCCGCCTCCCGCTCTCCCCCTCTCCTCCCCTCCTCCCTTCTGTTCTAAAGGCTGGAAGAGCGGTCTCGTCGCAAGGCCTTTATCCTGGAGCGTGGCCTTCTAGACCCGATGAGACGGCCATTCCTCCCTCCCCCCCCTCTCGGTTTCTCCATTTCCCCCCACCCCTCTCCCCTAAAGGCTGGAAGAGCGGTCCAGGCGCAAGGCCTTTATCTTGGAGCGTGGTTTGCTCGACCCGAGAAGAGTGGACGGAACTATCCGACCCGAATACACCTCCGGCAGCAGGGAGAGAGTTAGGGACCGGGACAGATGAGGGCAGCAACGGTTCCTCCTCTCCTCTCTCCCTCCCCCGTCTTTCTCTCTGCTCCAGGTTAGAAGAGCGGTCCAGGCGCAAGGCCTTCATCCTGGAGCGAGGACTGCTGGACCCGAGAAGAGTGGACGGAACGATCCGACCCGACACCACCACCGGCAGCAGGGAGAGAGTTAGGGACCGGGACGGGACAGATGAACAACACAAGAGAGAGGATGGTACGGGGCAGGGAGGGGAGAGGGAAGGGGGAAATCTGGGGGGGGTGGGGGCAGAAGCGGGAGAGGGTGGGGTGGAGAAGGGAGAAGGGGGAGGGAAGCGGGGAGGGAAGCGAGGAGGCGGTGGGGAGAGGAGGAGGTCGAAGGAGGAACGGGAGATGTTTCTGCGGTGCCGCGTTTTTGCGAGATTTCTCAGTGCAGAAGAGCACGAGGGGCTGGTGCAGAGCCTCACCCAGGCGCAGCGACTGCGAGACAGAGTGGCCGTGCTGCAGGTGAGGCTTGTGGTTCGTTTTAATGGCACCTTGTGGTATCAGCAGTAGCGCTGCTTCAAGTTTCGTAGGAGCATGAGGGGTTGGTGCAGAGTATGACTCAGGCGCAGAGGCTGCGAGACAGAGTGACCGTGCTGCAGGTGAGGCCTCGCATTCCCTCGCATTCCCTCGCATTCCCTCGCATTCCCTCCCATCCCCTCCCATCGCCTCCCATTCCATCCCCTTCATCCCCTTCATCTCCTTTCCTTCATCCCCTCCCATCCCCTCCCATCCCCTTGCATCCCCTCGCATCCCCTTCCATCCCCTCCCATTCCCTCCCATCCCCTCCCATCGCCTCCCATCCCACCCCCTTCCAGGAGTTGAGAGCAGCGGGGTGCAAGTCGCTGGCAGAGGGTCGTCGGTTCATCCAAGCCCATTACAAGGACAACCCCGCCGCTGCTGCTGCTGCCATCGCGTGTCTTCCACCCTCCGCAACAGGTGTGTGGAAGCTAGCTAGCACGAACACATGTATCTCTGTGCTATAAGGACAACCCCGCTGCTGCTGCTGTGGCTGCCGCCATTGCGTGCCTTCCGCCCTCCGCCACAGGTGGGGTATGCACCCTCCGCCACGGGTGTGTGAAAACTAGCTAGCACGAACAGATGCATTTCAGTCAGTGCTACAAGGAATACCCTGTTTCTGCAACCCCTCTGCTGCAACCCTGCTGCTGCAACCCCGCTGCAGCAACCCCGCTGCTGCAACCCCGCTGATGATGCTGCTGCCATCATGTGCCTTTCCACTACCTCTTGTTACATTTTCTTTCTCTGTCACCAAGCTCGTGTTTTCTTCCCTCCCTTTCCTTCTTCGCCAGTTGCAGTCACAGCAACCAGCACAGCACGTTCAGCAAGAGGTCCCTCCTCCTCATCGCCTCATGCTCCATCTTCTCTGCTCCATTGTCCCGCTTGTTCTTCTCCTCTCTGCCACTTGTCCCGCTTGTTCTTCTCCTCTCTGCCACTTTTCTCGCTCTCTCTGGTCCTTGGCCACTTGCGCCACCAGCCATCAGCACAGCATCATCAGGAGGTGCTTCAGCAGCTCTTGACATCTCCTCCCACCCTGGGTGTGACCTTCTGTCAGTTAAGGTGAGAGGCTCATTCTCAAGTCGTCAATAAGTGCTGCCTACAGCCAGTGTGACCTCATTAAGATACTCAAACCCTCATAAAGATAATTAAATCCCAAGTTCCAACCATCGACATGCCTCCGGTTTCATGTGCCTTGATGCCTCTCTGTGTTGTTGTGATGTGACTGCTCTGCTCTGCCTCCAAACTCTCTGCTTATTTTCTCTCTCTTCTGTTGACTTGTGTTTTTTTCTGGCCAGTCCATGGTTCTATAACCAGACCTCATTCCTTCCTCCCTTTCTCCCTTCCTTCTTCCCTCTACCCCATGCATCCACCTCCCAATCCCCCCATCTGCGCATGTTTTATCTCTCTTCTGTTGACTCCTGTTCTCTTGTGTCCAGCCCATAAGTTTCAACCAGACCTCTTTCCTTCCTTCCTTCCTCCCTCTGATCCATGCATCCACTTGCCCGTCCTTCTACTTGTGCATTTCTTCTTGGTCATGACAAACACTGCCATCCACCTGCATGGGAAACGCCAAACTCTGCCATTTTCTCAGGAGCGTGAGCTGTGCACGCACATGCGCCTGCTGCCAGCACACTACCTTCGCGCCAAGCAGGTGAGATTCGGGTGCTGGGCCACTACCTTAGTGTGCTACTACTAAGTAGCCTAGTGTGTGTGTCTGTGTGTGTGTACGATGCATCTTTCAAGTAACTTGGAGTGTGTGTACACTCAAGAGCGTGAGCTGTGCACGCACAATCTCGTGCTGCCGGTACACTACCTCTGCTGGGCCAAGCAGGTGAGGTTCTCCGAAAACAAAGTGGACAGATTATGGGCACGCGGGTGGGTTTGGTGAGACGAGCTTTGATGCTTGCCCTCACAACTCAATGGGTTTGCCATTCAGGCGTCAGGAGTCGACTACTGCCAGCACACTACCCCCTAGCCTAGCAGGTGATATTCGTATTGTACGTGTGTGTATGACAAATCTATTTAGTAGGCGAGGAGGGCCAAGTAGGTTAGCTTGTTAGAGCTTGTTTCAGGGCCTGTGTCAAGTCTCCATGTTGACTTTTGAGTCGACTCAACCTGCTTCAAGTCCTGCTTCAAGTTTCCACAAGCCCTGCCTTTTTCCTTGCACCATTCCCCCCCCCCAACCACCCTGCCTTTTCCCTTGCACCATTCCCCCCCCCCCACCACCCTGCCTTTTCCCTTGCACCATCCCCCCCCCCCACCACCCTGCCTTTTCCCTTGCACCATTCCCCCCCCCCACCACCCTGCCTTTTCCCTTGCACCATCCCCCCCCCCACCACCCTGCCTTTTCCCTTGCACCATCCCCCCCCCCCCCACCACCCTGCCTTTTCCCTTGCACCATTCCCCCCCCCCCCCCCACCACCCTGCCTTTTCCCTTGCACCATTTCCCCCCCCCACCACCCTGCCTTTTCCCTTGCACCATCCCCCCCCCCCACCACCCTGCCTTTTCCCTTGCACCATTCGCCCCCCCCCCCCACCACCCTGGCTTTTCCCTTGCACCATTCCCCCCCCCACCACCCTGCCTTTTCCCTTGCACCATTCCCCCCCCCACCACCCTGCCTTTTCCCTTGCACCGTTCCCCCTCCCACCCTGTCTATTTCCAACTATCACCTCCCCCTCCCACCCATCCCATCAGGTCATCTCACAGCAAGCAGCGCTGTCAGGGGGGACCATCTCACGAGCAGCGGTGCACCGACTCTTCCGCCTGCCCCCCGCCACCACTGATGCCATGTGCCCTGCCTTCTCTCATTTTTTCTCCCTCCCCCTTTTCCCACCCATCCCATCAGGTCATCTTGCAGCAAGCAGCACTCTCAGGAGGCACCATCTCGCGAGCAGCGGTGCACCGACTCTTCCGCCTTCCCCCTGCCACCACTGACACTCTTTGCCCTGTTTCATGCGCAAACCGCCCCCTCTCCGACCCACCGCCCACCCATTGGAACAGGTCATCTTACAGCAAGCAGCACTCTCAGGAGGGGCCATCTCACGAGCAGCGGTGCACCGACTCTTCCGCCTGCCCCCCGCCACCACGGATGCAATCTTTAGACTACTGCTGGGGGCTGGCTGGATAGCTGAAGCTGGGGGGAACAGTGCTGGTGGGGTGATGGGAGGGGCGATGGGAGGGGGGATGGTGAAGCAGGAAGGGATGTGAGTTCATGCTCCCCCCTGCCATCACTGATGCCATTCTCAGGCTCCTGCAGGGGGGGGGTGGGATGGGTGGGGGAATGGTGAAGCAAGAGGGAATGTGGTGTGAGATCAGGTTGCGTCCAGCCAGCAGTGGTGACATCGTCAGGCTTCTGCGGGGGCTAGCTGGATAGCTGCGCTGGGGCAGTGAGTGGCAGAGGGGTGATGGGGGGTATGATAGTGGAGCAAGAGGAGATTTGAGATCATGCGGCCTTTAGCCAGCCCTATGGATAACAGTCTGGGAGAGATCCTGAGATGGGGGAGTTGATGGTGCATTATAAGGGTGTGCCGGTTTGGGTGGTGGTGAACATCTACGTATTGCACAAGCCACTGCGTAGTCACTTCTACTTGTATCAGCTACGGTACTTGTGCTTTTTTGTGTGCTCTCAGGTGGATCCAGAATGCCTTGTTCTGAGGTGTATCAATAGCTAACTAAATTCCTGAAATGTTCACTTTTTTTATGGTTGATAGCAAGAATTCGGTGGATTGATTGTACCTAAACCGAGATATATGCAATGTGCAATCTATAGTAACTTTCATAGACTGATTATAACAAGGTTTTTTCCCACGCACATGTTGACGTGCAGAGGGGAACACGCTGCCACGTTCAGGCCTAGTCTACGCCTTCGTCACGCCCTATTCACGCCTTGTTTATGCCATCCTCTCGCCTAAGGTGGAGCGAGAATGACGCATCGAGCGAGAATGACGCATCTGGCGAGACGCGTCGTACGCCCAGCGCGAAAAATAATATGTTTTCGCTCAGATGGGCTGCGCGCTGGAAATAAAGTTTGCACGACGGGAATTTGGAATGGTTACTTGAGTTTTTGGTCTCGCCGAACCAGGTTCAGCTTGGTGGCATCTCTCGGGCAAAGTTTCACCGACGTCGAGAAAGAGTAAGTACCGTCGAAATCTAGTATCCTCGTGGAAAGTTATCGTTTTGCGTACCATTCTCCTCATTAAGCTCGTCGGCTCTTCCTCTTGCCAACAAGGAAGCCGAGTTCACAATGTCGACGGCGACAGCAAGACTTCTGGAGGGGATTGTGAGTGTAGGGACAAAGTTTGCCGTCGTAATCGAGGATGCAAAGAGGGAGTTGGAGGCGGAACAGCGACAAAGGAACTCTTCGGAAATCACGGAGAGCCCAATGCTAACTGATAGATTGGAAAGCCTGGAGAAAGCTCTGAAAAAAACGAGGGAGGAAAACATTATCAACATAAGCGAACTCAATAAAGAGTTAGCAGCTGAGAGGGCTGCAAGGGAGGAGAAGGAGAAGGAGGTGGTTGCACTGACAGCGCGACTCTCGCAGGCAGAGGCGCATCAGAAGCAAGAAACGTGCAAGATTTGGGAGGTGAGCTGAACGGTCGCTTAAAGCGCTTTACTGTGACGTGAATTATATTATGTCTACTCACCGCAGTTTTACCGATTTCTCACAATGTGCTATTGCAGGCGATTTCTCAGGCTTTGGGTCAGTCAACAACTGGCATAGTTGCTCAGGATGAAACTCGGGTTTCAAACAAGGAGATGGAATCACTTGTGTCTACATTAGTAGCACAATCGGCGCAGGCAATAAAGACGCTGGAGCAGCAAAAGGAGGAAACGAAAGGTCTGGGAGGTGAAAAATTTACTTGCTGGGCTTTGTGTTGAACAATCGCGTTATTTGTTTGTTTGGGAGGCTAATTCTTATGGTGCTGATGTTTCCAGGCTATTCATATGACTCCAAAGTACCGATCATCCAATTGGCTACCGACCCCTGCAGATGTGAAGATCATTCACGCTCATGCTAACACAACGGTAATGGAGCTGAGCACTAACGATGGGAAAATTAGTGACCTTGGTCTTTCTCACCTCCCTTACTTGACATCCCTAAAAAGCCTCAAGTTTTCTCAGTATATGAACGTAACGGGCCTGAGGCACCTCTACACCATGACATGGCTGGAGCAGCTCAAACTTGAATCAGACAAATTTCATGATTCAGTGATTCAGGGAATCAGCAATCTGAAGGCTCTTCGTCGACTTGAACTGGTCGATACACAGGTTACAGATTGTGGGCTTTCCCATTTGACAAGCCTTGGGTCCCTCAAAGTCCTTATTCTTTCTCGTGACCAGATTCGCTCATACCATACCAGAGATTTTTTTTCATCAGCTGGCATGGTGCACGTGGGGAAGCTGACAAACCTTGAGGCACTGGACATTGGTACGTTGAATGTGAAGGACGATGGGTTAGCCCATCTTGTGCCTCTGTCGAAGCTGACATGGCTAAGCCTGCCAGAGCACATCACTGACCAGGGCATGGTGTACCTGAAACACTTTAAATCCCTCAAGACCCTTTGGTTGAGGAAATTCCAAGGTTATCAGCGTTACGTCGACTGCTTGAAGGCCCTTCCATGCCTTGAGAAGGTTGGAGTGCCAGACTGGCAGACAGCAACAATGGTTGGGAGGTTCCTTCCTAATGTTAAAGCATCCATGCAGTTTGAGCGGTATCCTGCATAGGTCTTGTTTAGATTCTTGGCTGTGATACAGATGCAACATTGTACGTCTATGCCTGTCCTGTGTGGCCTGTGGTGTAATGTGTCATGCATAGAGAATCAATTTTCCCCACTCATAGCTTTTCCATGCAGTTCCATCCATAGAAGTGTAAATCATAGCCAGGGTCTCAAGAGAATGGTGTAAACTAGCGTGAGACATGTTGCGATCAGAAAGTTGATCGTAACCCAGGATCTACTCTGGTAGGTTCACACGCAGTGGGTAGTGTTGGTGGGCCCTTTGACCTCAATAGCAGAGTGAATGTAAACTGCTTGAGATGATAAAAACATGCAAATACAGCAATATATGTATGAGTACAAGGGAATTCGAAACGTCCTAACTAGCCATGTACTCTAAGGGGTACATTCCCTTATTCAAATGCATCCCAACCGTTCGGCGCGTACAGTTTCTAAACTGTTCCCGCCAAAACTGTCAAATGTTGTAGCCTATAGTGAGGTTTGTCTTAGGGGGTACAGAAGTTAGGGTTTGTTATATGTACCCCAACCAACATCAATGGCACGATCCATTCCTCATTCTGACATGGTATCAGCTAGGTTAGGATCCTGTGGGATCCCGTTCCTCCGTTCTCCGTTCGTACCTCCCGAGCCTGATCCTACCTCTCGTTCGTACCAGTTTCGTTGTTACCGCGCCTAGTACCGAGCCTAGCGCCATCTCCCCCGTCGCGTCGCGCCCGTTCCCCCCGTCGCGTCGCGCCCGTTCCCCCCGTCACGTCGCGCCCGTTCCCCCCGTCACGTCGCGCCCGTTCCCCCCGTCGCGTCGCGCCCGTTCCCCCCGTCGCGTCGCGCCCGTTCCCCCCGTCGCGTCGCGCCCGTTCCCCCCGTCGCGTCGCGCCCGTTCCCCCCGTCGCGTCGCGCCCGTTCCCCCCGTCGCGTCGCGCCCGTTCCCCCCCGTCGCGTCGCGCCCGTTCCCCCCGTCGCGTCGCGCCCGCCTGTTACCCCCCCCGTCCCGTCGCCCTGTCCCGTCGCGTCGCCCTGCCCTGTCCCGTCGCGTCGCCCTACCCCGTCGCGTCGCCCTGCCCTGTCCCGTCGCCCTGCTCCGTCGCGCCGCCCTGCCCCGTCGCGTCGCCCTGTCCCGTCGCGTCGCCCTGCCCCGTCGCGTCGCCCTGCCCCGTCGCGTCGCCCTCCCTAGGCCCTGGCCCGTCGCCCTCCCTCGGCCCTGGCCCGTCGCCCTCCCTAGGCCCTGGCCCGTCGCCCTCCCTAGGCCCTGGCCCGTCGCCCTCCCTAGGCCCTGGCCCGTCGCCCTCCCTAGGCTCTGGCCCGTCGCCCTACCCTAGGCCCTGGCCCGTTGCCCTACCCTACGTCTTGGCCCGTCGCCCTAGCCCGCTCTTCCGCTGCGACTGAGTCCTCTTCCCCCCCGGTTGTTACTCGCCTGTTCGTTCGCGTTAGTTCTCACTATGGCGACTCCGCGAGTTCTTCGTTTCGACGCAGACGGTAGACCCCTTGACTTTTCCGTCTGGCTTCTTCGCGCTCGTCGTCTGTTAGAGAGTCAGGTCCAGGGGGGCGAGACCCTCTGGTCACACGCTACTGGTGACCTCCCCGAGCCCCCCGAGCCTACACCTTTAGGCCCTGCTCCTGACGACGCTGCTACGGCTCGCTTTGCCCATCAGCGCGCTGACCAGACGGCTTGGACGTCGCGTGACGCTGCGGCCTGCATCGCACTCAGCAGCCTCCTCCCTGAGTCCGAGGAGGTCCACTTTACTCAGGTTCGCACCGCTGCTGCGTACCTCACTGCGATTAAGGCCCGCTACTCTACTCCCGCTACTGTCTCTCTCGGCCGTCTTTTCCTCCCGTTCCTGTTTCGTGATCTTGCCTCGTTTGAGCGCTCTGCTGACTTGATCGCTCACCTCCGCTCGCTCGACGCTAGTTACCGCGCTGCTTGCACTGAGGCACAGCTTGCACTGCTTCCCCCCCCCATGGCGATTACTGTCTATTTCATCGCCACTAGCCTCGCTGACCGCCTTGCCTCCGTTCGTGACGCGCTTCTGCTGAAGCACCCTAGTGAGCTGACTATCGAGGTCCTTGAGTCTGCACTCAAGGACGTCGAGAGCAACCTTCGTTCGGTAGCTGCCGCCTCTGGTACTGTGTCCCCCCCACTCTTCCACGGGTGCACAGTCCCACAGTTACCCACCTTCACTGCCTCTCTTGCCACTGCCGCTACTGACGCGACTGCGGCTGCTGTTACGACTGCGTCGCGGTCCCGCGGCAGGGGGGGCAAGAAAGGTGGTTCCGGTGGAGGTGGAGGCGGAGGTAGCGGAGGTAGTGGGGGTGCTGTTGCGACTGGCGGTGGTGGGAGTGCAGCGTCTGGAGAGACCCCTCGTGCAGCGGCTGGTGACTCCACTGCACCTGCTGGTGGCGGCGACCCTCGAGCTCGTCAGTCGCCTCCTGTACTGCCGGCCCCGCTAGGTGGAGCAGCGGCGTGGTACCAGG